CCTTTACCTGGAGCCACCTCAGGCATCTGACGAAGGACAGTGAAAAAGAACAGTCTCCACTAAGGAAAAAAAAAAGAGTAAAAAACCCCTGAGTATTTTCCCCCTCAAGGTCAAGTTCTGAGTCCTTCTGGTGGCTGGGAAACACCTCCTTTTCCTGAAGCGGTTGAGGCTCTCTGAAGAAGTGGGGCCACTGGAAGGTCCAGATATTGGTTCCTTATTCTTCCATGAAATGGTTGACCAGAAGCCAGGGTGATTGCTCTCTCTGACCTGCGCTATTCTTTCAATCTACTCCCCCAACCTCCACAATAGTGGGAATTGAACCCACGGCCTTTGTACTGAGCTATATTTCCAGGCCTCCCCACTTTTTTTTGCTTTCTTATTTTTCTTTTTTTGTCTTTTTGAGACAGAGTTTCCTTATGCAGTTCAGGCTGAACTTGAACTCACTAGGTAGCCCAGGCTAGCCTGGAACTGGCAGTGATCCTCCTGCTTCAGCCTCATGAGTGCTGGCATTACAAACATACACCACCATGCCTAGATTTTCCTCCCCACTTTTTAGAAATTTTGAGACAAAGTCTCACTGAGTTGCCCAGGTTGGACTCAAACTTAACAATCTTCCTGCCTCAGCCTCACAAAGTACTGGGATTATAGGAGTTTACCATCATGCCAGACCCTTGTCCTTTCTTCTCTCTCTCTCTCTCTTTCTCTCTCTCTCTCTCTCTTTCGTTTTGGTGCTGGGGCTTGCATGCTAGGTAAATACTCAACCATTGAATTACTATCCCTCTCGCCCTCTTATGCGGTTCTTCCTGAACTGTACGCAAGTCAGTCCCCTAAGAAAATCTAATAAAGATTAATTATCCCTTGTCTAAAATGCTTGAGACCAGAACTCTCTGGGATTTTGGAATATTTGCATATATATAATGAGATACCTTGAAGATGATACACAAATCTCAACATATAAAATGCTTCATATACATCTTATATACATAAACTGAAGGTAATTGTATACAATAGATTTAAAGCTGGGTGTGGTGGTGCATGCCTGTAATCCCAGCACTCAGGAGGCTGAGGCAGGAGGATCACAAAATGTGTGAGGCCAGTCTGGGTTACATAAACCAGTTCAAGGCCAATTTGAACTACATAGTGAGACCCTGTCTCAAACAAACAAAAAAAAAACACCATACAGTATTTTTAGCATGCTTGCATTTTGCCCTCCACCCATTACTTGAGATCAGCTGTGGAGCTTTCCACTCATAGCCTCATGTGGCCATGATGGGTATGGTATTCTCTGTGACACGGTCCTGTCTAAAGGAAACACTTTTCCCCACATTTTCTAAATATGTTACAATACACATGTGCAGACATTCTTCACTGAACAATTGATTTCTGTTCCTGTGACTATGTCATTAAATGAATTGGCCATTAAATGAGGAATTGCATACAGTATGTACATGACGATATTCAGAACAAAGAAATGGTCAAAGGAAACTTCAACTTGATGATTGGTTTTATTTGTATAACTCTCACATGCAGTACTGTAATGTTTAACAGAACACAACACTACAGTACTCTACTGTACAATCAGCAAAAATTACCGTATTGTATGAACAAGGTTTACTGTACAAAAGAACACAGAGGCTCAATAAACAAGATGTACAGAACTGTACAAAAAAAAATGGGGTGTAAGTCCAAATAGTTGTTAAACAGGTTGTTAAACGAAGGATATCTGTATTTCTTTTAAAGAAAAAAAAACTTTTGAAGTCCTGTTCTTGGGGATTGGTGAGTAGCTCAGTGGTAGAGCACTTACATATGCCTAGCATATGTAAGGCTCTAGGCTGGATCCTTTGCACTGAAAAAAAAAAATCCTATTCTTTGTAACCATAACCCCTAAAATTCTGTGTACATGGTGATAGTTTTTCTTGTACTTTACCTCTCCATTTTGGTACTGGGGATTGAACCCAGAGCCTTTGCACTGAACTACATTCCCAGTCTTTTTTATTTTTTATTCTGAGACAGGGTCTCACTAAGTTGCCTGGGCTGTGCTCAAACTTTAGATCCTCCTGCCTCAGCCTCCCAGAGTGCTGGGATCATAGGCACGCACCACCATCCTGGCTGCCATCCACAAATAATTGCCTATAGCACACTGGTAATAGTGTTTTGTTTTTCTCTTCTCAGTATGTAGTTCAGGGTAGCCTTGAATTTTCTACAACCTGTGTAGTCCAGGTTGGCCTCACAAGGATCCTCCTGCCTCAGCATCCCAAATACTACCATACCTGGAGGTAATACTGTTTTTTTTTAATGCATGAATTCAGTAGGTATTTCCAGAGCTCCTACTATATGCTAAGCACTATTCTTGGGGTTTATATGCTAAATTTGGCAGGTCCCCATTGTGGGGTTCTCATCGGTATGGTTTACATCTAGATGTCCCCCCAATGCCTATGGCAGTCACACTGCAGGCTTCTAGAGTTTGATTGATTCATGGTCCAATGCTGAAAATAAGGGTATGAGTGCTACACCCTCCCGGGAGGGGAGGGGAAGAAGCTTTTCTGTCTCTGTCTCTCTCTCCCTTCTTGTCACTTTTGCTGTTTTCTGCTGCCATGAAAGGTTGCCCCTGTCACGTGCCACCTTGCCTTTGAGCCAGGGGATTATGGACTGAAACCTCTACAAACCGTAAGCTAAATAAGCCTTTCTTCCTTTAACTTGTGGGTGTTGGGTATTTTGTCTCAGCAATGAGAAAACTAACTAAAACACCCTAAAGAATGTGGTGATGGGCCAGGCGTGGTGGCACACGCCTGTAATTCCAGCACTTGGGAGGCCGAGGCGGAAGGATCACTGTGAGTTTGAGGCCAGCCTGAACAGCAAAGCAAAATCCTGTCTCAAAAAAAAAGAGAAAATATAGAGCTGGTAGAAATGGCTCAGAGGACACAACAGCTATAGGTATAGCTCTAGTGACTACAAAAATGACTGAATGTCAGCTACAGTAAAGCTGACCCTTAATGTGACTGTGATGGGCCCCGTATAATAGTGAAGGTGACTAAGAACAACAACTGCCCCAGACTGACCTGTTAAATGACCAAGTGACCACGAAAGTAGCCGAGTGAAAACAACCCCACAGTGATAGCTGGGCACACACAATGCTATTTCCAGCAGGACTGCTTGAAGTTTAGGGTCACAGGCGGTAGTTGCATATTGGACAGTGGCAGAATATACGATGGGCCAGGCGATAGCAAAAATGCAAATGCCAGCTCTGCCTAGAAGACTGAATATGTGATTAAAAATGGTGCTAGTGGGACAATGACAGTGCTCAGAAGGGTGGAATATTGACACGGATGTAATAGCTGTAACTGTGATGGAATTTTTTTTTTTTTTTTTGTCTTTTTGAGACAGGGTCTCACTGTGCAGTTCAGGACGGCCTTGAGCTCACTTTGTAGCCCATGCTGGCCTCGAACTCGCGGTGATCCTCCTGCCTCAGCCTCCCAAGTGCTGGGATTACAGGCGTGCTCCACCATGCCCACCTGTGACAGAAATTAAAAATAAATTAAAATCAACTAGTAGTGTGACACCATATTAGGACAAAATAAGATCATGCAGCCCACCACGTACCTCGACTGTTGAGAGTCTGATCCAGCTCAGGTTGACCACGCCCAGGGGCACAACCTGTACTTTGTCGCCCCTACGCCACTGAGCTATATCTCCAGCCCTCTGTTCGCTACCTTGTTTCAAGGGCTTTCTGCTCAGCAACGAAGAATAAGTGATGCTACCCAATAAAGTCCACCACCCTTTTAAGCCTTCGTATTTCCTGCTTGCAAACCTATATAAACTAAGACCATAGTCGGCTCTGGGCTGATGCTTTGGGAGCGACCCCTCATCAGCTTGCCGACATAATAAAGTTGGTTGCCTTTCAACTCCTTGGTGCAGAGCGTTTTCCATTCGGTTCGGTACCGGTTCCGTAACAGAACCACAGAGGGAGCTCGAAGCAAGGACAGAAAAAGGGCGCACTCGATAAAAAGTAACTGCGTCCATCAAGCCAGCACAGATCAGTCTTATGTCTAATACTGTGAGGGTGGCAAGGCGAGGTAGGGGCTTCCACGAGGAACACACAGCGCAGGATGAAATACACGGAAAGAAAAAATCGTGCAGAACAAAAGCTACGCACACTTCCCCAGCGGAGAGCCTAAATCCTAGAACTCCGGGAGGGAGGGGCGGGATCACAAAGACTTCCCCAGGCCTTGAATGGTTGGCACTCGGCCCGCTAGCCTATCACGTCCGAGCGGTGTAAGCCTCCCGACCAATGAGAGTGTGTCTGGGGACGCTGCTCTGCCGGGCCTCGCACGTGAACGTGTTGTTTTGGAAAAAATAAATCTTTGTCTACTTCGCTGTCATCCTTTGAAACAAGATCTTAGCCGTCGAGGTGCCCCAGCAAGGGGTGCAGCTCAAGTAGAACTTCCCCAAGGTTGTACGGAGAGGCGACAGCAGCAAGCTCAGCGCTCTAGAAGAGGTTTCCCACCCGCTGGCGTCAAAGGCCTAACATTGGTGGAGAGCGAGCGCGCGAGGCATGCCCCGCCTTCTCGCGAGACCGCCCCCAGCACGTGACGCGACGCACGGGCAAGGACGCCCCGCCCCTCTCGGTGTCTGCCCCTTCAGCGCCGGCCTCAAGATGGCCGCTTGCTGGCGTCTCCGGCGCTGTTGAATGGCGAAAGCTTTATTGTTCCCTTCGGGCAGGAGTGTTCGTGTCCTCTATGGCGCTGTCAATAAAGAACGGCAGTTTGAATCGGTGCTGAACAGGTAACCATAGAAACGGGGCTGGGACTCAGAGACCCCTTTTGCAAGCTGAGACCCGAGAGACGCCCCAAGTGACGGGCTCACGGAGACCCTTCCGCGTGGCCAACTCCGCGGGGCTCGTCTCTGTCACCGCCGCCTCCCTCCGGCACAGACGTGGGTCCGCGGGGCAGCGCACACCCCGGGCACGGCCACCGCGGAGTCTCGGGCAAGGAGAGGCCTCGGGGACCGGATCCCGGCCCCGGGCCTGCTCGGCGCTGGGGTCCTGCGCGGGGCCCACGGGGGCCCGGGACTCCGCAGTCTCCTTCCGCCTCCCCCGCGTCCTGCACCGCGCATCTGCAACCTGCGGACCTCGGCCGCATGCCTCCCCTCTGCTCTTCCCCCTCCCAGTTTTTGTTTGCCCGTAACTAAGAGTAGTTTTTACGTTTTTAAATGATCGGGGGGACAAAAGAGAAATGTAGGTGATAATGAAATCAAACTTCGGTGTCCGTAAGTGAAGTTTTACTGGAACGCGGCCATGTTCGTTGTTTATGTATTGCGCGTGGCTGCCCTCCTTCCCCGGGGCAGAGTTGAGTAGTTACATATTTCTGTCCGACCTTTTACAGAAAAAGTATGTCGACCTCTGCCCGAGACGCAGGTAGACTGGGTCATTGTTCTCCCGCGATTTCCCCGGTCGCTCCTCACCCACTGGGCCACGTACCTACAGCTCTTGCCTGCCGAAAAACACTGTCTTCCATTATCCCTCTGGCTTTACCGATTATTCGAAGTAGTTTTTCTCCTACTTCCTATAGCAATAATATCCACTCGGCGCCTACAATATGCCAGGTGCTTTATTTATATTCATACCTGGCTTTGTTGTGCTTTACCACCACGCTTTATGATGTTTCCGTTTTACAACAGAGGAAGAAGTGAGGAGAGGGATCGAACAATTTCAGGGTGTTACAGGTGATAGGGCTGACAAACCCCCGCCTGGTTCCTGGGCGTGTTACTTCAGACTATTCTGTCAAGTCTGGGATTGTATCAGATCTTGATATTAATTATGTTTAAACACTCTCCCAGGTGAAATTTTTCTATACTTGGCTTGTATTTATTTATTTATTTAATTTATTTGATGTTCTCCCTATGTAGTTGGTTGACCTTGAACTCACTCTATAGCCCAGGCTGGCCTTGATGTTGCATTTTATCCTCCTGCCTCAGCCTCCTGAGTGCTGGGATTATAGGCATATTTGGTTTAAATCATCAAACTTCAGTTTCCCTCTTTCTCCTTAATGTACCTTCTACGGCCGTTCCCAAACCTAACTTTTCATCACTGATTTAACAAATGGTTGAAAACACTCTGCTTGGGCGAATGCATTTATTAATCTTCCAGCATTTCATGAGCACCTACTATATGCTAGGGGCAGTTCAAGTCGCTGGAAATATAGTGGTGTACAAGGAATTTAAATTCTCCAGGGATCTTGGACAGATGGTGTACAGGTACACAAAGAGAATTTCAAACACAGCTGTCATAGCATCATAACAATATAATTAGTAGTTAATATTTATTTTATTTATTTGTTTATTTTTGACACAGGGTCTCACTGTGTAGCCTAGGCTGGCTTTGAACTCACTGCAATCCTCCTGCCTCAGCCTCCTAAGTACTAGGGTTACAGGTGTGCACCACCACACCCAACTATTTTAAAATTTTATTAGTACATGTTTACAGCGCAACGATTATGTTCATTGTGGGAAACTGGTGCATGTACATAATACATTTCAATTCTTTATTCTCTTGCTCCCCCCTTTATTTTTTATATTTCTGCCAGCATCAAATTCCTTTAGTAGTTAATATTTGTGAAGTGAGACCTTTGTTCCAGGTACTGGTGCTCAGTGGGCCATTTGTGTCAACTATGATACAACCCTCAAACCAACATGATGACATAGGTAGTATTACTATTTACATTTACAGGTCAGGAAAAAGTCTCGCAGAGGAGAGGTATTAAAGGTTGCATGGCTTATGCTATAAAGGGAGCTGGGAGCTGAAACTAAAGGGGCCACACTCACCACCCTGTATTGATCCTGCTAGCTTGGGAGGATCTTGGGCAGGGCCCACACCTTACCTTTTGTATCTTAGCCCGCTGGCCTGTGTCCACAACCTGATGCAACCTGGCCCTCTCAGGTAGATAGTAAAAGTGAAGACTTTGTTTGGCTTCTGTGGCACTGAGAATTGAACACAGGGCCTTCAGCAGTGAGTTACAGGGTCTCACAGAGTCACTAAGTTGCCCAGGCTGGGCTCAAACTTGTAATCCTCCTGCCTCAGCCTCCTAGAGTACTGGAATAATAGGTGTGTGCCAGGTCATTCCTGGAGCATATATTTGAGTGCTTGCTGCATACCAACCTGACAGGGCCCAAGGGCTCTGTTCTGGATGTTAAAAGCCAGTGTCAAGACAGTGCAGAAATAAGTTATTCAAAACTGGCAGCTGCTATAAGGGAAACAAAACAGTGTTGATTTAAAAGACTAACCTGGAAGTTGCCTTTTCACCTGGGTGGTCAGGGAGGACCTCTCTTGGGAAAGGTAGTTTAAACTGAAACTTAACCCAACAAGGTGCATGTCCAGCAAGAAGGAAAAAGGAAGAAAAGCCAGGTGGAAGAACTTTTTGGCAGGCTGTAAGATGGGTAAGTGGGGTGCCAGAGAACTGAGTGCAGTGCTTAATAGTAGTGTGCTCAGTCCCTGGCCCTGAACAGCTTTACTGCTGGTAGAACTGGGTGCTGAGCAAGTTAGATAACTGTCTGCTCATTGCTACTCGGATAATGGGAACCCTTCAGGGATTTGTCTGATCGCTAAAGAGAACACGTTAATAGGTTTATGTTTTCTTTGTGTTATTACACATATTGCTGAATTTTCCATTGAGGGAAAACCAAATTGGGCCCTATCTGGAGACTTTATTAAAGTACTAAATACAACAAAAAATCCACAAACGTGTTACAGACAAAATTGGGGGCAAAAAAAGTGGGTGGTTTTTCTACCTTCGAGGGGAAGGGAATGGAATGTATCTTATTTTTTTCTTAGTTTTGTTGAGAGGAAAAACTTCCAAGTGGATTTTAGTTTTTTAAATCAAATTATACAACTGTCGGGGCTGGGGATTTAGCTCAGCGGCAAAGCGCCTGCCTGGCAAGCGCAAGGTCGTGAGTTCGGTTCCTGGTACCGGAGAAAAACAAAAAAAAAAAACAAAAAAAAAAACCAAATTATACAACTGTCTATACAGAGTATTTTCAGCACTTTGATTAAAAGTTTGGAACCATTTGTGCCCCTGCCCCAAAAGGTATCAGCTCCCTGCTCTCCTTCATCCCTTTTTGTCCTCCTTCCTGCCTTCATCCTTACTTCCCTTTCGCCTTCCTACACTCACTCCCTTCCTTTCTTTTCAGGGAGCAGTCGTTGCTGGGGATAGGACCCAGGGCCTCTAACATGCTCCAGCCCTGACCTATACCTCCCAGCTCTAATATCTGCATTTTATTAAGGCAGTCTAAGAAAATGTTGGGTCTTTTCTAGTTGGTGTTAATTTCAGACTTTGTTTGCAAATGATTTTGGATTTCCTCTAAAAATTTTCAAGATAATGTTGCATACTTTAAAACAGTGTTAACTGGGTGTGGTTCACGCCTATAATCCCAGCACCCAGGAAGTTGAGGCAGGAGGATTGCTGGGAGCTTGAGGCCAACCTGGACTCTGTCTCAAAAAAAAAACAAAAACAAAAATTATAGCGTATTAAGTGCTTTGACACAGTAGCAGGCTTTTTGAATAAGTAAAAATAGGATGATGTTTGGGCCAGGAGCATAAGAAATTACAGGAAGTAATAAATTGTGGGAACTAAATAAGAAGAAAAGCAGTGTCAAGTTTTGCTTTAAACTGTATCCAGTGACCATATTGCACATGTCATCAGAAGATAGAACCCGTCACAGCAAATGGAACACGGAGCTGGACAGAGAGTGGCATGTTAATGCAATGTTAAACAACAAGCCCTGAATTAAATTGCTATTTTAGGTTTGGGTGGGACCTTCACATCTGAGTGTTGCAGTTTTACTCTGTGATTTGGGTCTGTTGGGTTCCAGTAAAGAGTAGGTGGTAACTCTAGCTTTGAAGGATAATATGAAACTGCAGGAAGAGCAGGGCATACCAATTTGTTTTTCAATCTATTTTATTTCAGTTCAAAGCATCAGCGCAGACAGCAGCCCAGAAAAACAAGCCACACTTTGGCAATACTCAACTGCTTTTGGAGATTGAGGAAGACTGAGTGTTACCAAAGTGCGGCTTGTTTTCTTGGACAGTCTGTCTGCAATGATGCTTTGAACTGAAATAAAATAGATTGAAAAACAAATTGGTACGCCCTGTTGCCTCACACTGAGCATTTACATTACCCTTCTGGAGGACTGCCTGTACCGGCACCCTGGGGGAAGGCGGTGACCCCTCAGCCTCTTTCAACTCTTCAACGGAGTGAGCGCTTTGATTTTCCCAAGGAAATTGAATTGGGATGTGTGCTGGATCTCCAATAGCTTGCCTTCGGAAGCCATCATCTTGATAATGTGGAGAAGCAAGCTACTAACCACGCAGAGAAAAGAATTAAATATTAAGGGCATTTAAGTTCAGAAATGAGATTGTCGCTTTCTTTGAGTCACGCAGAGGGTACAGTATTTCATTTGTAGAGAGCATGCTGTTATGAGACTCTGGCAGCCCTCAAGGGAGAGGAGAGCTTGGAAAGAAAGCTGGCTTCTCATATTTCCCTAATGTTACTTAACTCCGAATCCTCCAACTCATGGACACCAAGCATTTCCTTTCCTTACATAAAGGAAATACATTACGGCTGATCCATGTAAATCAGGCACTGTTAATCTTGTAGCCCGTGGCTGAATTGCGAAGGACTCCTGACTGGTGAAGATGCCCACAAGTTCGTGTGACTGTTGTCCTTCTGGGAAGAGAAACTGTCACTTCAGTCAGGTGTCACAAGCGTGAAAGGTGCAGAGGCGTCAGTGAGACGTCACGTGTGACACCACCAAATTAAGTATAAAACCAGTTACTTTCCACAGATTTGTGACCTTAACTTCGGAGTTTTGAAAGTACCTCTGGCAGGCTTTGCTTCCTGTCTAAAATGGTCAGGCATAATTGTATATCCAGCTTCACTAATGCCTTAAAGACGATTGATTTCTGCAACCTTACATGTGACTTGTGATGTGTGAATGTGTGTAAGCAGCCTTGCTAGCAGATACTGTATTTGTTTCTTTTTTAAAAAAAAATTATTTGGTTTAGGTCCTGGGAATCAAACCTAGGGCTTTGTGCTGAATGCTAAGCGCATGTTCTACCATTACGCTACGTCCCCAGTCCCTAGTCTTTCTCTTAATTGAGAAATAATACTGTGGGATATACGTGTGTGTGTTAAAATGTACATCCTCAGCCTTTTAAAAAAATTTTATTTGAGACAGGGTCTTGCTATGTCACTTAGTGCCCACTGCAGGCTGGG